TTACGGAGTAGTCACAAAAAAGCAGGGACAGGACATGCGTGCTCTCACCGAACTCCATGAACAGCCCGCTTTGGTATCTCACCTCTTAGCCACTCGATCAAAAGACGAGCCGGATCGATCGCTCACCGGAGGCAGATCTAAGTGCCGCTTCAGCATGACAGATGCAGGGGTCTACCGCCCACTTCAACTCCCAGGTCCACGCTTCTCGCGACACGGAATCCCAGTTACACTCACGAGTGCTGCGGCATCTTGCGGCAAAGCCCCATCCAATGGCGATGCATCCTTTTGCCGCAAACTCGGAGAAGTTCTTCTAGGTTTTTACCAGATCCTGCTTAGCGTTACAACGACTATCAGCCAGTCGTACGTATCACCAACGGAATACCCCCGGAGTTACAGATGTCATCGCTGGCCACTTCCACGATTACCCCAGCTTCAGACGTGCCTCCCGTTAGCTCAACACTCCGAATCCCGAGGCACTTCACGATGAGTAATGAAGAAATGGGGGGGTCTGTTTTGGAGAACCCCTCATTCACATGTTCCCATATATACCATGGCTATTAATCAGCCCCGGATAGATAGCAGAGCGATGGCAGATGCCAGATCATTGAAGAGGCGAAATCGCTCTTTAGCTGGGCGCTAGAGAGAGCGGCATATACTATCTATAATATCAGTTCCTAAGGGGATATACGATTTGTTAATCACGATTTTTTTGTGCCAAAGCAGGTAGGTTACGATGCGATCCGGATGTCAAGGGGAAGTAACTGAGAAGCTAGAGGATTGAAACGTCATTATAAATCGCATACCCACAGCTCCGTATATCGTTCTCTCCAGCTTTCATCTCACAAAACAGCTGTCTCTTCTCATTCTTTTCTCTTCATTTCTCCATCACAGACAAGACACTGTAAGAAACAAAAAAATCCAACGAACTCCACACACACAAAGGGCGAATCTCTCATCAAAACCCCATCCACAAAAAAGAAATGTCACAAGTCTTCCAGCCGGGCCCCCCCTCGCTTGCCAACGACTCCTCGATGCTGTCCCGCAGATTCGGCAAGGAGGTCATCAACTACTACGGCGGCGGCCTGCTGAACCGCTTCTCGTTCCTGCGCGGCGACGCCCCCTTTATCCGGCGCGCGGCGGCGTCGCCGTCTGCGCGGTTCGTGGCGCTGCGGGACTTGAACCCGCTGGTTGAGGATGCGCGGCGGCTGGCGCACTTCAAGCTCGACGAGGTGAAGCCGCTACTGTTGTCGAGCAGTGCTACTAAGGAGGAGGGGCTGTTTGAGAAGACGGATGAGGAGAGGGCAAAGGGGTTTGATTCGACGAGGACGAG